AAAAAAAAAACACGACGCAGGAACCAGAGCATATGTTTTGGCGTCGCCTTTAGCACAGCGAGACGGCATCAGCCTCGCCGGAAAGCCGAGCGGAGAATGCTCGAGACCACATCCAGTACGCAGATGTATTTCGGGACCCGAATGGAAGGCCGATGGCATCGGTGCCGGGTTGAGAGACATTTGTTTGTCGGCAACCTGGCTCGCTCCGGGGGTGGTTGAGGACAGATCATTTTTTTTTCTTCTCTTTCGGATGGTGCAATTTTCCAAACGCCGCCTGGCTCCGCTGCGACGCGATGACGTGCCCTTTTCCGATAGCGTCTACACAACAGCCGGGCCGAACCAAGATGCACGCCTCGATCGGCGCCGTCTCTACCTCCACCTCATCACCGTAAAAATGCAGGGGTGCGTGCTGTGCGTGCTGCCGATCGACACCAAGTTCTCGCCTGCGACACTGCCGCAGCGCAAACCCTTGCAAGCGCAAATAGAACGGGATCGCCTCGTTGCCCCGACAACGCCGGAATCGCAGCTCAGCTTCGAGCGGCGGGCGAAAGAAGCTGCTCGGCTCAGAGCATCGCCGCCGTAGCCCGACAACCCCACATTCGGAAGGGCTTCTCTCAAATTTACGCTGGCACGAAATGTGCCGTCATCACGGACTGTTTGCCTGAAGCTGGCGGTGACCACCGCCGCAGCGTCGTCTTACGGCGAGACGGGCAACGAGACGACCCTTTCGCCTCACGTCGTGTCTCGTAACGCCACACACTGGTTGCCAAGGTCTTGGCTGGGTTCCTAGACCAGCCTGGACGATGGCGCCATAATGCTCGCCAGCCACGACGCAAATAGCTGCGCCAGCCAAGTCCGGGTGCGGTGGCCGCCTGTCGGGGGTTGCCGTCCCGTCGCGGTGCTTCGATCGAAGCGTTGCACCGGTACCGAGGTGGTGCGGGCTACGTCAACCGAGGCGAAATTAATGGTGCTGGATCGTTGCATCCCGTGACCTGCTCCACTCAACCTCCCCAGTCGCGTGCTCATCGTCTGCCCTAATTAGGCGCAAGGCCACCTTCTGGGCTTGCACCTGTTGCCGACGCTCAGTCAGCGCAGCCTAGACAGTCTTGGCCCAGTGGTTCGCGTACGACCCAGCCGAAGTGGGCTGACACAGGACCCTCGCTTTTTCTCGCTCGGTTGCGTGCGTACCCCGCACGCTTCGGCTGCGGTCAGCGGTCTGTCGTGAAAAACCCGCCCAAAGCGCAACGCATCACAGGATCAGCGCCTTGCTACGAGACAAAACGTTGCGGCGAGAGTGCATGCGTCAGACACAGGCTGGGTGAGGCCGACATTGCGTGCGCCGTACTTACGTTGACCGTGCCGTGCGAATGACTCAACTCGAAAGTCGCGGTGCGAACGACGAAGCTTCGAGATGGGTCACACCGTGCAGCGGTCCGCCCCCAACACTGGACACCCCAGCCTTTCACACGGGCAAAGCACGTGTGGGTGCGAACCGCGGCGAGCCGATCCACCTCCACCTCGGAGCATTGCGTGGATGCAATCGGCATCGCAGACCGGCCAAGCTCGACGTTGCGTAATCTTACCGCAAACACGGCACGGCACGGAACGGCACGGCTTCGGATCGAAGCTCCGAAAAGGACCTACGCGTGGCCATGCATCGTCCACTTTCGCACGCCGGAAGCTCACACCGACTAACCCACACCTTCTTTCGGACGAGACCACGATCCCACTGCTTTGAACCCGATCAACGAGCATGCCCACTGAGCTGAACTGAACTGAATTGCATATGCGCGCGAGCTACGGCGGGCTAGACATCGACGTCTTCACGGTCGAGCACCTCGGTGTTGGCCACGTCGACCTGGATGAGCTGTTGGAGGAGCGAGTACAGAATGACGAACGGCTCGAACGGCAGATAGACGAGGATGAAGCGCATCGTAAACACGAACGCATGGATGCAGCCATAGATGGAGGCGACGTGGCCGAGGATCGCGCCAAACACGCCCATGTGGCCGGCCTGAAGGAAGGGATCGTTGAGCAACGGCTCGGGCACCGCCTCAGCCCGCGGTGCCTGCTCTGCCGCACCATCTGCATCGGTACGCTGTGTTGACGACGATGACGGATCTTGTCGATCAGAAGCTTCTGTGCCCGAGTGGCTCTCCTGACTGCTCCGAACGCTCCGAACGCTCCGAACGGCGCTCTTGACACTTCGCACGAGCTGCGACGCCAAGCGTCTGGCCCTGCCAAGCGTCCAGCGAGCGATAAAGAGCACGCTCGACACCGTCTGTCGCCACGCCACGCGCATGCTGTCGCCCGAATGTAACGCCAGCTGCCAGATGCTCACGAGCGACCGCCACGCCTGCCTCGCAAAGTGCGAGATGGTCGAGTCCCAAGCCATCTTGGTGGCTACCACGAGCGCTAGCGCCGTGGTCACCAGACATCCAAGCAGGAACGCCGTTTTCCATACGCTGAGCTTGGGCATCAGTGCCATCTGCAGCGGCTTGGTCCTGCCGGGCAGCAAGCGCTTGGTGCCCGCCTCGAGCCAGAGATCGTGCAGCGTAGCCTTGCTCGCCTGTTCATCACCCAGCAGCGTTGCAATCATCCTGCGGTAGCCTTCGGATGCCGAATAGTCGTGGTGTACCCAGTCCGCGCGTGTCCATCTGTCGGTCGTCGTCTTGAAGCGTTCCGCGCGCGTGCTGAAAGAGGCCAGTCCCGAGACGATCGCATCGAGCAGTACGGTGAGATTGGGCGCGAACACCGCCGCAAGCTGGGTCATCTCTACGCGCTCCGTCGTCATGAACTGACGCGGACGCATGTAGACCGCGAGCGAGTACCCGCCCCACCAATTCAGCCACATGGGGCCAAACACTGTATCCGCCCCGACGACCATAACCTCGCGGACCATCGCCGCCGCACGTCGCCTCTGTGTCCTAGGCGGGCCGATGATCACCGCGTTGTCCGGATTGAACCTGACCGGCTCAAACTCGACATCGACGTACGCAATGAGTGCAGCGACGGCCGCCTTGCTGGCGCACCAGAGCAGCTCGCGATGTGACTCGAGCAGCAGCAATGCGAGCTGCAGCGCCGAGCGCGCGATCGACGACCACCACGGCCGGAACACGCTGGCGAGAAAGTAGAAGCGGTCCACCAGCGCCAGCACGACGCAGTACGGTACGTAGCGTGCGAAACCAAGCCACTCGGGCAGGCTACGCACCAGCACGTGCTCCGAAGGCTCGTCAAGAATGAAGCTGGACAGCTCCTCGTAGTCGAACTTGATCGTCATGTTCTGCCGCTGCCAAACATCGAATTTATCCTCATGCCCAGCCGTGTCGGCGTCGCTCTCCTTTCGGTGCGAAGAGAGGAAAGGAATGCCGAACTTGAACTTGAAGTCGCTGCCAACGAGGCGCTCCCGCAGCGAAGGCGTGAGGTTGAAGGGCGTTTGCGAGCTCGGCGAGGAGATATTGGCACTTTCGCGCTCTGGCACGGGCAAGGAGGGATGTGCTCCATCCTGCGCTACGCCTGCTTCGCCCGCTGAGTGTTTTGTTGGTTTCGAAGGAAAGAGCGGAAGACCGCGCGAGATGCGCTCGAGTTCCTCGGATACGTCCTCGCCCGAACGAAGCTTGGCTCGGACGATCATGGCGTCGGTGTAGTTGGCGCGATACGACGAAGGCAGACGCTGCACGCGCTTCCAATAGACTGGATTGAGCAGCTGTTCCTGGCGAACGCGCGCAAAGACCTCGAGGTCGATCTTGGAATAGAACTCTTCGTCGAGCCGAGGCATTCCACTGGTGCTTGCGCTGTGCTTCCACGTCTCGGCGGGAATCCAGACCTCAGCACGCGCCTTGTCAGGCTGCAGTGTGATGTTCCACGGCATGCTGTTGACGTGCACTCGTCGAAGCGCCGCATCTCGAACGAAGCCCAGCGGAGTCGATCCTAGAAGAGCGACCGTCTTGAGCGACAGCAGAGCAACCATGCCAAAGGCCACAGAGAGGATGAAGATGGCCAGGACGCAAACGAGGATGCGCAGCATCTGGCTGGCCTGCACAAAAGCCATGAGATTGGCGTGTGGTCGGCGACGGAAGCGATAGCGTGCGTGACACTGGCCACAGACGCGCGCGGCTTCCGAGGCCTCCGCTTTGCGTCGCCACTGGTCGAGGCACGTATCGTGCACGTAGCGCATGCTGCCATCACAGTAGCACGGACGTATGAGCCTGCCGAGCGATGAGCCGTCGTCTGCCAGCTCGGCTTCCGACGAAAAGCACATGCGACAAACCTTCTCATCCCCATCTTCATCGCTTCCGCTGTGTGATGTTGCCGCCGCAGCAGCCTTGTCGTCGCTTCTCCAAGCAGCGGGACCGTCGTTGGGTTGACCAAGTTGCGGCCCGTCGTCGGCCTCCGGTGCTGGCGCCTGCTGGTAGCCGAGATCTCTGAGCACATTCTGCGTGTTGTGCCACAGCGACGGCAGCGCGCCGAGGATGAGCTCAACCTCGTGCTCTTCGCGCTGCTGATCGGCAAGCTGGATGCCTTGTTCGTCCATGGCTCGGCGCCTGGTTGCGCTGACGACCAGCGCCCTAGCTTCTCCTGCCTGTGCCTGATTGGCCCGTCAGCATCCGCGTAGCTGGGCGGTGGACCGAGATCTGTACCGCCTTTGATCCTGTTGGTCTGCGCAGGGAGAGCGTCCCTGTGACGATTGTCGTTGAATCAAACCAGATGGGAAGGCGAGGAGAAGCCGGAAGGGAGGACCCGATGCGAGGTCCGAGAATTGGGCCGACACCGCCATTTTTGCGGAAACCTCCACGTTAGCCAATTTGACAGATTCCCGCGTCCTCCCACGCGCACGAACCCTATCTGCGACACCACACTGCTTCGGCCCCCACACAAAGTGATGAACCCACACGGCGCACGACCTTCGAGCATAACTGGCAAGCCGGAAAGAGTGGAGTAGAGATTGTGCGCGTGCGGACCTGAATGAGATGAAACGACGACTACTAATACACGGAATCTGGGGCGGGGACAGGCAGATTGGGGGAGGTCTAAAGAGTACAAGAGTACAGAGAGCGAGGTTGAAACTGTGCTGATGATAAAGCGACTCGAGCGAGGCCCTGTACGGTCCAAAGGAAATGCCGGTACGTTACTGGTGTGTCCGAAAAGCTGCTGAGGGGACCAGAGAAAGGGCATGCGGGGGAAACGCTCTACCACTTGCTGGCACTGCTGTCGTTACCGAAGCGGCTCTGGCGAGCATCGCGGCCGGTACCAAAGTTGCTGCGTCCGCCTCGGCTGTCTCGACCATCGTGGCTGCCGCGGAAGTCACGGTTGTCACGACTGTCGCGACTGCCGCGGAAGTCGCGGCTGTCTCCACGGCTGTCGCCGTCCCTGCTGAAGCGACCCCGACCGAAGGATCGGGAGCTGTCAGCACGGTATCCACCGCCACTGCCACCGCGACCACCACGCGACGATGACGAGCCGCCTCGCATGTCTCGCATGGACATGCCCATCTTCTGCAAGAACGAGTCGCTGAGGTGAGGCGCCTTCTCCATGCGGGCCGCCTGGACGCACCACTGCTTGAGGCCGTCGAGAACGGCGAGCTTGTTGGTGCGCAGCTCGTCGCCCCTGCCCATGTAGAAGCCAAGCAGCGAAGTGAAGACCTCGCGCGACGCTTCGGACTCCTCCATGTTGGCGAGCGTCTTTGCGATGAGGGGCTTGAGCTCGCTCGATTCGTACTTGCCCGTCAGAGGACCGCGGATCTCAGCGGGAGGCTTGACGCCTGGAGTGCTGAAGCTGTCACGGCCGCGGCCGCCCTTCTTGAGCTCCTTCTTGGCCTGCCTGGCAGCCTCGAACACCTCGTCGGGCACAGCAAACTCTTGGGGATTCTCGTCAAACTTGGCAGCGAGCGTCTCGACCTCTTGCGCAAGGTCGTCGACGTGGAGCTGGTTGACAGGGAGGTCGTCGAGCTGGAAGTGGAGGAAGCCGCGTTCGAAATTTTGGAGCACAATGTCGGAGCGGCCCTGTGCGCCGGCTCGTCCCGTACGGCCGATGCGGTGAATGTACTGGTCCTTGCTGCTGGGGATGCCGACCTGGATGACGCGAGTGGTACCGGGATAGTCGACGCCACGAGCACTGACGTCGCTGGTGACGAGCACGCTGGCGCCGCTCCTGTCCTTGCGGAAGCGGTCGCTGGTGTTGAATCGTGCGCGCTGGTCCTTTTTGCTGTGGATCTCGTAGATGCTCGATTGGGCGGGCAAGTGGCGCTGGGCGTCACGAATAACGTCGGCCAAGAACTCGGTCATCTTGGTGGTAGGAGCAAAGACGATGGTCTTGGATTTGCCGGGGTTGACGAGCTGGTCATGCGCAATGAGGCGAAGAATGTGGGGGATCTGCTCCTCGGCGGTGTCGAGGACGGTGGCGTACTGCGGGATGTGCTTGTGCACGTTCTCCTCGCCCGCAGGCACGCAGTCGACGAAGCGGTGGTCGGGCTGCAAGCTGGCCCGCGCGATGGCGCGAATCTCTGGGCTGACGGTGGCACTGAAGAGCATGTTCTGGCGCTCGACCTTGGCGGGAAGATGCTTCATGATGGCCTGCAGATCGTCGCGGAAGCCCATCTCGAGGAGCGTGTCGGCCTCGTCGAGGATGAGGGTGCGGCAGGCGGTCATCGCCTCGCGCATCATACCGACGTCATTGAGCAGATCGAGGATGCGACCGGGAGTGGCGACAACGACGTCTGGCCTCGACCTCCTCCAGTCGTTGATCTGGAAGTTGCGGCTGGCGCCGCCGACGAGCAGCTGTACCTTGAGATCGGGCGCATGTGTGAGGAGCTTCTTGGCCTCGTCTGCGATCTGTGTTGCGAGCTCTCGGGTGGGCGAGAGGATGAGGGCGCCGACGGTGTTGTTGACGTACTGCTTGGTGATCTCGTCGAGCTCCTTCTTGGAGAGGGTGGAGACGTCGAGGTCTGGCCTGTGTCGCTTGAGCATGTCGAGCCAGGGCTTGGAGAAGCGGCCCTTGCTAACGTCCTGGATGGATCGCAGGCGAGCTTCGAGCGCAGGAACGAGGAAGGCGATGGTCTTGCCCGTACCGGTCTTTGCCTTGACGAGCATGTCCCTGCCCTGACCATCAGGCATGGGCGTAGCGTTTGCACCGACGCCGCTGGCGAGCTCGGGGAGGAGGTGGAGGACGCTCTGCTGGACCGCGGACATGGTCTCGTAGCCAAATGGCTTTACGGTGAGTGCCTTGAGGAGGCTATAGTCGATGGAGCCGCGAAGCGAAGCAAAGGTGGCGTCCTTTGTGCGAGTAGCCGACGATTGCGCATCCTTTGGGAGTTGGCTGAGATCCACGTCGGCTGCCTTGGCGGCGGCGACGGCAGGCTCTGCGGTGTTGGAAGATTGGGAGAGAGCACGGATGGATTGGGAGAGGTTCGAGCTGAATGCGGTGCGAGCGCACTGGCTGATGGCGAGGGGCGCGCTGCGCGATGCAGAAGCCATGGTGGCAGCGCATGGGCTGACGATGGACGGGATGGCAGAGCGGCGCATCAATGTCGAGATGCTTCGTGCTGCCGATGTGGAACGGGCCAGCCCGAGCGGGCTCGCCATCTTTGTGTACAGCATCGTGCCGAGGCTGAGCAGAAAGCACGGAGGCTTGACAGGAAGAGACTGGACTTCCCTGCTTGCTCTGGAGTGAAGATGCTTATGGAGCAAAAGCTTCGAAGTGCGCCGGATGAGTTTCGTGGTGTGATAGCAAGGACGAGGAGGACCACGAGGCCGGAGTGGACTGCTGCTCCGCTTTCATTTTGGTGCCACCAGGAAGTTTCCTCTGAAATTTTCGCGACAGCTGCAGGGTCAGACCCGAACACTCGCGAAGGCCTCACTTTTTCCTCCTCCTTTTGTGCCGCACTGATGACCAAATTTTCGCTCCACACTCAGCCACCCCGATCTGAAAGCTCTGATCACGAGATGTAGTCCCGATCTCAAAAAGGTAGAGACGCGGGCCGAGTCTGTGCACCGTTGCTGTTGGCATTCTCGACAGCGGCGGTTCGGCGATTCGGAGGTGGAAGAGCAGCAGGGCAGCAGCAGCGCAGCACGCGGTGCACGCGAGCGACAGATCATCCTTCCGTCTTGCCTCGCACTCTGTTGCTCTGGCACAAGCGACTCCTGACGCCTTGCTCTTGCTCTCTTCATCTCTCTGCTACCCCGACCTGCGAACTGGCGGCTCACTAGCCCCTCACTCCTGGTCGCCAGCCGAAGAAGCCGCCGAGTCGTCACCATGTCGACCTTCTTCCAGAAGCAGCAGCAGGTGGCTGCGCTCGACCCTCGTCTGGGAGGGCTCATGGCGAGCGCCGGTCTCTACAACCTCAAGGCGCTCATCAAGGCCATCCGTTCGTGCAAGACGCTGGCCGACGAGCGATCGCTCATTCAGAAGGAGTCTGCCTCCATCCGAACCGCCTTCAAGGACGAGGACCCCTTCGCACGCCACAACAACATCGCAAAGCTCCTCTACATCCACATGCTCGGCTACCCCGCCCACTTTGGCCAGATCGAATGCCTCAAGCTCGTCGCCACCCCTCGCTTCACCGACAAACGCCTCGGCTACCTCGGCATCATGCTCTTGCTCGACGAGAACACAGAGGTGCTGACGCTCGTCACCAACGGCCTCAAGAACGACATGGAGCACTCCAACATGTACGTCTGCGGCCTTGCGCTCTGCACCTTTGCCAACATCGCCTCCGAGGAGATGTCGCGCGACCTCTGCAACGAGATCGAGAAGCTCATGGGCAGCAGCAACACCTACATCCGCCGCAAGGCCGCCATCTGTGCCATGCGCATCGTCCGCAAGGTGCCCGATCTCATCGACCACTTTGCCGACCGCACCAGGCAGCTGCTCTCGGACAAGAATCACGGCGTCCTCCTCTGCGCCGTCACCCTCGCCATCGAAATCGTCCGACAGGACGCCGACGCCTTGCAAGACTTCCGACGCGCCGTGCCGCTGCTCGTACAGCACCTCAAGTCGCTCGTCACCACCGGATACTCGCCCGAGCACGACGTCTCGGGCATCACCGACCCCTTCCTCCAGGTCAAGATCCTCCGCCTCCTCCGCGTGCTCGGCAAGGAAAACGCGCAGGCGTCCGAAGCCATGAACGACATTCTCGCACAGGTCGCCACAAACACAGAAGCCTCCAAAAACGTCGGCAACAGCATCCTCTACGAGACCGTGCTCACCATTCTCGAGATCGATGCGGACAACGGCCTGCGCGTCATGGCCATCAACATCCTCGGCAAGTTCCTCGGCAACCGCGACAACAATATCCGCTACGTCGCGCTCAACACGCTCAGCAAGGTGGTCTCAATGGACACCAATGCGGTGCAGCGCCACCGCAACATCATCCTCGATTGTCTGCGCGACGGCGACATTTCGATCCGCCGCCGTGCGCTCGAGCTGAGCTATGCGCTGATCAACGAGAGCAACGTGCGCGTGCTCACGCGCGAGCTCCTCTCCTTCCTCGAGGTGGCGGACAACGAGTTCAAACTCGGCATGACCACGCAGATCTGCCTCGCCGCCGAAAGGTTTGCGCCCAACAAGCGCTGGCACATCGACACGGTGCTGCGCGTGCTCAAGCTCGCGGGCAACTACGTGCGCGACGAGATCCTCTCGGCCTTCATCCGTCTCGTCTGCCACACGCCCGAGCTGCAGGCGTATACGGTGCAGAAGCTCTTCTCGGCGCTCCACCACGACTTTTCGCAGGAGAGCCTCACGCTCGCCGCCGTCTGGGTCATCGGCGAGTTCGGCGACGTGCTCGTCCAGGGCGGCAACTTTGAGGACGAGGAGCTGGTGCGCGAGGTGCAGCCCAAGGACGTCGTGGACCTGCTCTCGTCCGTGCTGGATAGCCCGTATGTCAACGGCCACATCAAGCAGTTTGTGCTCACCTCGCTGGCCAAGCTGCATACACGGCTGTCGGATTCGGCGCAGCAGAGCCGCATCGAGCAGATCATCGGCAGCTTCGAGAGCAGTGTCGAGGTCGAGATCCAGCAGCGCAGCGTCGAATTCTCGAGCCTGCTGCGCAGGAGCGACATCCGCGAGGGTGTGCTCGAGAGCATGCCACCGCCCGAGATCAAGCAGACCGTGCTCGGCACCGTGAGCGAGGCCAAGCCGGTGGGCTCGACACGCACGGACAAGGATGCGTTGCTCGACCTCATGGGTGACGAGATGCCGGTGGCAAGCGGAGGTGCTTCGGCCAGCGCTGGTGCCAGCACGCAGCAGAGCACGCAGGATCTGCTGGCCGACATCTTTGGTGCCAGCGACATGGGTGGCGCTCCCGCGCCTGCTGCTGCGCCAGCGGGTCGACCGGCTCAGAAAGCCAAGAGTTCGGTCAACGATATTCTCGGTCTGTTTGGCGACGGTGGCAGCACACCCGTTGCGCCAGCGGCGGCTCCTGCTGCAGCAGCTTCCGCATCGTCGGCCTTTGGGGGTCTTGACTTGCTCGGTGGTCTGGACGGTAGCTCGTCGTCCCCTGCCCCTACTCAAGCAGCTGCTGCACCTGCACCCGCTGCGGCGCCCGCTGCGCCTGCGGCTTCGAGTGCCAAGGCGCATACAGTGTACGAGAAGAATGGGCTCAAGATCACGCTTACGCCCACGACCAACCCGGCGCGTCCCGAGATTGTCAACATCACGGCGCGCTTCACCGCCACAGGTGGCAACGTGTCCGGGGTCAACTTCCAGGCGGCGGTACCCAAGACGCACAAGTTGCAGATGCAGGCCATCTCCAACTCGGATGTTGTGCCTGGTGCGACAGAGACGCAGGCGCTGCGTGTCATGGTGCCCAACAATGCGCCCGTGCGTCTGCGTCTGCGCATCGCCTTCACCGTCAACGGCCAAAACATCCAGGACCAGACAGATTGGGCTCAACCCTCCGCCTAAACCCCCCGCCACCTCTAGACCCCATCTGCATTTTTCCGAATTCATGGCTTGCCTCCGTCAACACAACAGGAACTGCACACGGTCGAGGAGGACTTAGCTGTTGTACAGCCAGCTTGGCTTGAGATAGAGTACAAGAGAATCGAGATACAAGTACATTGGTGGAGGGCGAAGAGGAGAGATCCATGGTCTAGTAAAAGGAACTTTGTGGGGGGTATCGTATCCAACGTTGCGCTCGGAGCAGGTCAAAATCAAACCTTGACTTCCTCCTCGACCCAGGCGCCAGCGAGATCTGGCGGCAGCTCCTGCATCTGTACACTAGGAGCGCCATGCAAGTACCTGAGCTGTTCGAGAATCTGTACGCGGATCTTTTCGAGGCTCGCTTTGGAGTTCTGGTTCTCGACCCTGCCTGCCTGCGTGGGCTCGTGCAGTCGATACGAGGGCGCAAAGAACTCCATGTAGGGCGTGCTGGGCAGCGTGTCTGGGATGGAGCATCCGGTCAAGACCGACGTCTCGTACGCCCAGCACCTTGCGACATTGCGGATCGTGTAGCCTCCTCCGCCGAGCACGAGCAAGGGCAGGCCAAACGACTTGATGAACTGAACGCACTCGCCGTGCGCGGCGATGCTGAGGTTGAAGCAGCCGAGCCTGTCGAGTCCGAGCGAATCGGCGCCGCACTGGAGTACGATCGACGACGGACGGAAGGTGGTGATGCAGGGCTCCATGACGCTCTTGAACAGCGCCACGTATCCCGAGTCGTCGATGCCATCCTGGAGCGGCACGTTGAGGCAAAAGTGCTTGCCAAGCCCCGTGCCGATCTCGTCGATGTTGCCGGTGCAAGGGAAGAAGTCGTTGCCGTACTTGTGGAAGGAGACGGTCATGACACGATTCGAGTTGTAGAACGCCTCCTGCACGCCGTCTCCGTGGTGGATGTCGATGTCGATGTAGAGGACGCGCGGATGGTAGCGGAGAAGTTCCATGATGCCGAGCACAATGTCATTGACGTAGCAGAAGCCAGACGCCTCGAACTTTTTGGCGTGATGCAGACCGCCGGACCAGTTGATGGCGATGTCGGTCTCGCCCGCCGCAAGACGCCGCGCACCTGCTAGCGAGGCGCCCGAGTAGGCCTTGCAGAAGTCGTACATGCCATCAAAGACGGGACAGTCGTCGGCGAAGTTGAATTTGGTGAATGCGGCCGAGGGCGGGGTGGAAGGGGTGACGTTAGCGAGAAAGTCGACGTAGTCGCTGTCGTGGAACATTTCGAGCTCCTCCTTGGTAGCCTCTCTGGGGGTGAAGACGTTCATGTGCTTGTGGAGGCCGTATGCGAGGACGAGACGGTTGGTGAGCGTGAGTCGCGCAGGTTTCATGGGATGCCGCTCGCCGTAGTGAAAGTCGCCGACTCCGGCCGGGTGGTAGTAGCTGACACGCGGGTTGCTGTGCGGCTGGATGTGGGAGGCATCTTTGTAGATGGCCTGACCAGCGCCGTTGGCATCTGATCGATCGTAGAAGAAGGGCGAATCGGAGAAGGTGGCGGCAGAGTTGCCGCCCGTGGCTGCCATGTCAAAGTCGATGACGACCATGGCGGGAGGTACAGAGCTGGCGGATGGAGCTCAGCCGGGCATGGACACCAGTCAGAGTGAATAGCTGGCTGAAAGGTTGGAGCGAAAGGTCGGTGCGCCCCACACCGAGATGCGCGTAGCTTTAGCCCAACAGAAGCGGCTACGAGTGTCCCAGACGAGCCGTGGATGGAGTGATGGTGGTCGAAGCAAAGCTGGAGGAGGAAGGGTCTAGAGTGGATGATTCGGAGCCGTAGCATCTAACTCGATGCGGACTCGCAAGATACGACGGCCTAACAAAGTTGAATTTCGAGCCGCCAACTTGACCGGCAACTCTGCTGCAGGCCTTTGGGCCACCTTTTCAGCTTATTGGCTGGCGAGAGAGAGAGCAGCTGCCGAAATTTCAGAGCTGTGCACAAATGAGCTGGATTTGCGGCATTTTGCGCGGCGCCAGTGGGCGGTCGAGAAACCTGGACCCACTCACCCACTCGGCCACGGTGGAGGGCTGACTGGAAAATGTGAAAATGGGGGCGAAAAGGGGCAGCGAGAGGAGTGAGGTGACCGGCTGGCGTGACGCCACTGCCAGTTCATTTGCAGTCACAGTGCAGGCAGAGTGACGCGCGCGGAGTTTATGCCCAGCGTGGACCAAAAGTGTGTGTGTGTGAGAGAGAGAGAG